GGTGACAGTGAGGGGGGGGTGACTGGTGACAGTGGGGGGGTGACTAGTGACAGTGGGGGGGGACTGGTGACTGGTGACAGTGAGGGGGGGGAGGGGGTGGTTGGTGCCTACCTGCATCTCTGCTCCCTCTTCTCTCCCCGGCTGCTGCTCCTTCTCCTGCTGGGCTCTGTGTGAGAGGAGTAAACAGGAAGTGAGGTCACTTCCTGGCCCCGCCTCTCCCATCACACAGAGCCGCATGGGAGAGGAAGCCGGAGACCTGGCAGGGAGGAGGTGAAGCTGCCAGGTCTCATGGGGGGGGGGGAGGTGTGACTAGCAGAGCGGTAGGTTGTGGGGCCCCGTGCTGCATCAGGGGCCCCACAACCTATCAATTAAAAAGTTTTATTTTATTATTTTTTGCCGTTCCAGTTGGAGAGATCTCTGATCTCTCCAGCTGGAACAAGGCTGTGCTGCCGGGCCCCTGACTGCCTCGGGCCCTCGGTCCATGACCGAAGTGCCCGAGTGGTCAGTCCGCCCCTGGGTCTGAGCAGGGAGGGAGAGGGTCTTTGAAGGGAGTGGGGGCTGAGCAGGGAGTGGGGCTGAACAGAGAGGGAGAGGTTATGTGAAGTGAGGGGGGTCTGAGCAGGAAGGGTAGAAGATCTGTGAAGGGAGGAGGCTGAGCAGGGAGGGAGGGATAGGGTCTGTGAAGGGAGGAGGGGCTGAGCAGGGAGGGAGAGGGTCTGTGAAGGGAGGAGGGGCTAAGCAGGGAGGGAGGGAGAGGGTCTGTGAAGGGAGGAGGGGCTGAGCAGTGAAGGAGAGGGTCTGTGAAGGGAGAGGGCCAGTGAACGGAGTGGGGTAAGCAGGATGGGAGATGGTCTATGATGGGAGGGGGGCTGAGCAGGGAGGGAGGGCTGAGCAGGGAGGGAGAGGGTATGTGAAAGATGGGTGGGCTGAGCAGGGAGGGAGAGGGTCTGTGAAGGATGGGTGGGCTGAGCAGGGAGGGAGAGGGTCTGTGAAGGATGGGTGGGCTGAGCAGGGAGGGAGAGGGAGAGGGGAGGGAGAGGGTCTGTGAAGGATAGGTGGGCTGAGCAGGGGATAGCATACCTTGTGTATCTGCCAGGCAGCTCTCCATCTTCTCTCTCCCAGCACTCGCAGGACAGGAGAGCACAGGAAGCTTACCATCCCTCCTGCCCCGCCTTCCCCTGATACTGAGCACCGCACGGAGGAGACCTGGCAAGCTGAGCAGAATCGCTGCCAGGTCTCACTCAGAAGGAGGAATTATTTTTATGTCTGGAACTTGCCGCCCCCAAATAAGTGCCACCCAGGGCGGACCGCCCACCACACTCTTGCTACACCACTGAGCGTAGAACTTTAAATGTTGAACTTTTTGAGAGATTTTTTTTTATTTGACTACATAGCCATACATTTCTAAATTCACTTTGAATTAACTGCAGTTCTCACTTTGTGAATACTCTTGCCGGTGTATATAGAAAACAAATATGATTTTGTTTTCCTTCAAAATATATCAAAACTAACTAACAATCTGGACAGGTTTAACATAGGAGGTAATGGAGCTGCAACTTCAGACCCATGCCCATGGAATAGGCCCACTCATCCTAAAAAATATGTTTTATTTATTTATTTTATATTTTCCCCAGTACCTATCAGATGGTCTTGCTCTAATATGTTGTTCAGATGGAATTATGAATTGGAATCTATGTTTGGCAGGGGGTGGGGGGGGTGGGGCCAGACTTCCATACAGAGCAGACATGTTGTGCCTAAGCTCCTAAAAGTTTTACTGATTCTGTGGTGATATCCTACGGTTAACGAGCAGTCACGTCCATGCAAGGGCACTATCTGAGTTGAGGGATTTCTGCTGACTACCCTAAGCTTCAAATTGGGTTTATACTCCCCCAGAGACCGAATCTCTCTGTTGCGGCCTACTCGGGACGGAGTTGAGGACAGGTGGCCGATCTCCTCACTCCTCGGACCCCGGTTCAGTTCTGCTCTACTGGAGGTGTCAACACCCACGGAGACAGACGTATTTTCCCACTAGACATGTGCAATTCGTTTTGTAACGAATGTACATTCGGATGAATTTCGTGAAATTTGGACATTCGGATGCTTACGAATATCCTAAGTTCGAATTGCTGAATTTCCGAACTGCCGAATTTCCGAAGTTCCAAACCAAATTGTCTAAGTCCCGAATTGCCGAAGTTCCGATGTGCCGAAGTTCCGAAGTGGGTTAGGGGTAGGGTTAGGGTTTGGAGTTAGGGTTAATGGTTAGGGTTAGTGGTTAGGGGTAGGGTTTGGGTTTAGTTGTTAGGGTAGTTCCGAAGTGCAGAATTGCTGAAGTCCCGAATTTCGGAAGTGCCGAGCCGAATGCTTTTGGTCCAGATTGCCTAAGCAGACGAATTTCTTTTCTTACCATAATTTCCAAACCAAACTGAACTTTTTGCCTATGCACATCTGTCAGGGTATTTATATCGGCAGACATATTGTGCTATGATAGAAATTAAAAGTGTATATGTTGAGTCACTTTTGAACAGAGCAGACTCCATTTTGTTATTTCCAAGTTAACAAAAGACACAAGATTTCTATCTGTAAAACTAACCACTTTGCCAGAGCTAAAGGAATGCATAGTATAAACAAACCAAGTGATAAGGAGAACGGGGGTTGGATAGACTGTCTAAAATGCTAATGGAATAGATCAATTCTAAACCCAGACATTTGTGACAGAGAAGATTAAATAATTTAATTTCACTTTCTATATGTATAAGTTACGGGTCAAAACTCAGAATTTGCCAGACACATAGTCTGGACAAAACTTAAAGAAACTGTTTGATCTGAAAGGAAACGTAAGTTATGGCCACTATCAAGATAGGCCAAAATGACGTCAAAATAGCCACTAAGAAAAGTTAACTCTTTCCTGGCTAGGTATGTTTAGTGGGACAAGACTGCCCTCTATAGACCAAATACCTAAATTGCGATCTGGAAGATAACCACACCTCTAGTGCTTCTATTGGGTTATCAACTGATGACGTACAGAGAGTCTGGCCCTTTAAAAGTTAGGACAAAGGGAAGACAGGAGGGTTGAAAGGAGGAAAAAGAGGAGAGAGGAATTGGAAGTTTGGGGACTCCAACCCGGACATGCAGAGAAACCCAGGACAACATCTGAGACTAATACTCTAATCTTAAAACTCTAACACTTAGAATTTTACTGACTTTCTAACCAACACCACCTTTCACCATAACTCATGCACCTACAGACATCCAAATAAGTTCCTGAGACCAATCGGATGAAATATCTACTCAACTGGTAATTATACTGGTTTCATTTAATTAATTAAATTAATTAAAATTTACTAATAGCATGATATGACTGGATAAATCACGGTCAGATTTCCATATTAAGAAATCTTAGTTAACTAAAGAATATATAGTTATAACCATTCCATTCTGCAGGTGGAATTAAGAATAATTATATATTAATGTGATAGTATCACATGTTAGCATACCGCTGTTTTTATCCAGGTATATTGATTTGCTCTAATTAAGATAAGATATCTTTTAGACAAATTAAATTCTGCTTTTATAAAATCATAGTAGATTCTCTTATTGGATGGTTCCAGGAAATGACTAATGAACTGGTTGAAATGTTATTTTATTTAAAATTACATAAGAATAGATCTTAATTACCTAGGAAATCTAGCCAGCATAGAAAGGGTTATTCTAACTGTTAGCCAGGGTTTTATGGCCCTTCGCTGTGAAAAGTTTTCCTTTCAGTCTGTAAGGATACCTCATAAATCGTAAAAGTCTTGACAGAAAATGCTGTTTAGCCATTGAAACGTGTATAGCCATTCCTTTGTATTGCATACCATTTTATACTGGATATTCATTGATTATTGTCACGCATGTTACATATTATTATTATTAATTAATTTGTTATTATAAGATAAATCTATTTTTATAACAAAATTGTGATATTATTTATATGAAATACTTCTCACTTACGATAACGATCTTTGGGTCTGAGAATTGAATTAGTGGGCAATTCTCACTGTTTACTATTATTATCCCATAAATATCCCCACACATCCCTATTTCCCACTACATTAAACCAATGTTTTCCCCTCTCAACTTGTGTTAAAAGGGGAGGGTTGATTTTCATCTTGGGAATTAGTCTTCCTATCCCTCCACTTTTTCCCCTCTTTCTTTCTCATTCCCCTTGCATTCCCCCGCTCACCTTCCCCCTTTTCTTCCCACCTCCTGCAGT